ATCTTTTGTTTGACATCCGCAAGTCGATGATGCGCACTGCCCTGCGCTGTCGGAGACCGTGAAGAGCTTGTTGAACTCGGGTAGGTCCATCAACCATGCCACTATCGTTGACCAATTTCCTGACGTGCTGAGCGCCAGCTCTCAAGAGAACAGTGCCATGGGCCAGCCAGTAGCATGCAACAGTACCTGTCTCTGGATCGCGCTCCACAGCGAGGATGATTGCAGGACCCTTCCATCGAATGGTGTGTGCCTTATCAGCAGCGTCTCTCCAATAGAGGCATCGTTCTCCAGGGTAGAGGTCCTCGTCTTTGCCAGTGTAGCGACGAAGGAGTGCCCTGCGCAGCTTGACATCGATCTCGGCTTTTCCGCACGCTTGTTGTGCTGAGAACTTCATGCTCAGTCTTCGATGAAGACGTTCCTGCTCGGTCATCTGCAATTGCAATGGCCCAGTGCGCTCGTCAGAGAGGAGTCCTGGCATGGAAGGTTCTCGGCCAAGTGCAAGCTGTGCAGGAGTGAAGCCATTCACGAAGGTGTTGCTGTTCATGGAGGGGACGATCCAAGCCAAGGCCTGATGAACACCATCAAGACCCTTCAACTCATTCTCCATCATGAAGATTGACACTGCTTTTCGAACCAGTTGGTGACGTCGTTCAACAACACTTGTGCGGGTGTGAGCCTGTCCAGGTGCAATGCGAAGTTCGATGTCGTGCTGTTCGCACCAAGTTGCAGTGGCGTCAGATGCCCATCCTGTGCCCTCGTCGGTGTAGAGCTGTTTTGGTGGACCATGGAACTGAATCCATGCCCTTTCCAAGGCTTTCTGCAAGGTTGGGCCCTTTTCGTCAACAACTGTTCGGGCAGCCATGTAGCGAGTAGCTACATCAACCATCACGAGCGCTGCAATCTTCTTTGCTCGTTGCTTTCGATGACCCGGCTCCAAAAGCATGCCGATCTCGTCCATCTCCAACCACAGAACATCAGCCTGGAGCTGTGCATTGAACTCTGAAGGACGATCGAGATGACTTGGAGCGTTGCCCTTCTTGACTGAGTGAACCTCGCAGTAAGGACAATGCAGGTCTTGAACGGCAGATTGGACCGCCTTGTTGCAGCCACGATCTTTGAGCATCTTCAACAGGATCTCTTTGCGAGGGTGTCCAAGATTCCGGTGCAGGCGAAGAGCCGTTCTTGCAGCTTCATGGCCATGAAGAGTGCCGAGCTTCCTGAGAACACCAGTCAGGGCCTTGTCGTCATCATGCACGGCATAGACCTGTTCGTTGAGCCCTTCAACAATGAGCAAGCCATGGACCAAAGTGGAAGCCAGCTCTTGTTGGTAGTCCTCAGCTTTGCGGCAGCGATTTCGACCTTCTAGTCGTTGATGTTCGTGTTGACCATCGCACCTTTTGGACATCAGTTGAAACATAGCCCACTTGGTGGTCTGCAAACGAGTCGTTTTCTTGATGGGCAGGAAGGTGCCATCATCTGCTTCTGTCGTAGCGCCGTAGGCGCATTGGTCGAAGATCGCCTTGTGGCCTGGCAAGTTCTTGAGGTTCTTGGTGTTCCAAGCCAGGCTCAGAGCTGGATGCTCCAAGTGTGCATGATCTCCTCGGCGAACTTGCTTGTAGTAGAGTTTCTTGCGCGTAGCCAAATGAGTGGCATGATCCACCTCTCGCCGTTCATGGAGATCTTGAGCCTGTGCTTCGTTGTGGGTGTTGATTTGCTGCATTCGTGACCACAAGGTACACCTTGGGGACATATAGATCTCATCAGGATCAAGCTCGTCACATTGACGTAGAAGTTCTTTTCGATGGGAGGCTTTGCTGAAGTCCCAACCATCGCGAAGTCCAAAGCGCATCACCTCAACATCGCCGTGGTCCTTGAGCAGCTGGGTGATCAATCCCTCACCTGCATAGACCTCCCAGATGAGGCGTTTTCTCCGAGCGAGGCCATGCTCTCTGGCATGATGGATTTGCTGTTTCACCCACTTTCCTTGGTCGATGTTCTGGGCCTCAAACATGGTGAAGAGTTTCTCAAGTTGTTCAACTGTCTTTGTCGAGGCTTCCGGAGGGATCTCAACCATAGCTTCTTGATCCACTTCCATATAGGCGGGTTCTTTCACAAAATCACTCTTCTCACATGCCTCGCAATAGGCGTTCACCTCGGTGGTCATCTCAAAGAACCGCTCGTGGGCGTTGAGGTCTTCAAGAAAGTCATTGAGCTTCAGGGCGTGTTCATGGTCGTCCTCGCATCGAAGGTCGAAGGACACGGGGCGGAATTCCGCTTGGTCGTTCACTTCCTCCGCCAATCTCAACAACATAGCACCCTGACGGCCTCGTGGGATGTCCCGCCAGGTCTCTCGTTGGAGGAAGCGCATCTTGCCCCGTCCAAAGTCGATCTCAGCCTGAAGAGCTTCGAGGAGAGGTCGTCCGAACAACATAGGAGTGGCTCCATAAATCACGTAGGCCTGCAAGCGACCTGCAATGCCGGCCAGTCGTGCCGGGAGTTCGACCATCCAGCGAGTGACCAGTGGCGTCACCTCCAAAGCGAAATGACTTGTCGCATCTTTTGAAGGCGATGTCCTCCATGGGGTAGCCAATGAGCTCAAGCCACTTTAGGTAGCGCAAGATGTACTCGCTGCCTGCCAGGAAGGACGAAGCTCCTTGATCCTGAATGCACGAATCAGGTTCCGGGGTCAACCATCCGCCAGCTCTGACCAAGGTTTCACCCTGTGTGTAGGCCTCCTCAATATCATAGAAGACCTCGGAGTCATAGGGGTCCTCAACGTCAAAGAACTCTTCAGCATCATAGAGCTCGGTCAGGTGAAGTGCCATGTGAATCATCGAGTCATCTTCAGCTGGCCTTTTCTTCGGTGAAGTGGATCCGGAACCCTGAGCAGTCGGGCAGTTTGCAGCGAAATGACCAGGCTTGCCACATCGAAGACAGACCATTGCGGAACGAGCTCTTGACTTGCCGCTAGGGCCTTTGCTGGCCGTGGAGGTCTTGCCTTTTGAACCCTTGGATGGAGACTTTGACTTTCCAGCACCTTTTGACTTGCCCTTGAAGGGAGTTTGTGCCATCACAGGGGCCTGGCCCTTGTTGCCATCCATGACCGCCACCACGGGGTAGAATCCTCTGCTCTGTCGTAGTTGGTTGAGGCGGTCTTGGCATCAACATAGGTGCTATAAACTTCATCAAATTCCTGGGTGTCAAACATCGACTCCATTTCATCGGGTTCATCATGGTAGTAGGTCTCATCGGGCTCATAGTCCTGCCATTCTCCTGCAGGTTCCTGAATCTCGGTGTCATACTCTTGGGCGTCTTGGTAGAAGGCGTCCTCATCATCGTAGTTCTCCTCTGCTTCATAGTCATCCTCCCAAAAGGTCTGACCCTGTCGCTTCCAGCGTCCAACCATTTGAGGTTTCCGGAGGTGTGCTGGTACATGGACATGTCGATGATCCTGACCGATGATGAGGTACAAGGCTTGTTCAACAGAAGGTAGGGTGAGCGATGATCCGACGTGGGTCTGGATCAACTGTTCTTGCTCCCTTGTCAGCCCTGCACGCTTCACCAACATCCAGCCAGTGATTTCCTCGGGGAGGTCAATCTTGTGCTTGGAGATCTGTCGAAGCGTTTGGTGGAACTCGGTGACATATTCAAGGATCGACTGATCTCGCTTGCGCCGCAACTTGAAAAAGAAGTTGTCAAAGTGGGTCGGCATCTCAACTTTTGCACTGTTTATCCAGGCGCTTGAGCAAGATGTCTAGGCCACCTTCTCTCTCCAATTCGTTCAAATCCAGGTCCTCGCACTGCGTCCACGACGGGCCTTCGAGCACAGACAAAATGTTCAGTGCCACTTCAGCTGTGCGACCTTGGATTTCCATTTTGCGGGCATACAGTTTCACTCTTGTCCTCCATTCAGGGTAGGAGGTGGTGCTGTTCTCAAGCCGGGGGATGAAACTGTCCTTGTAGTCTATTCCAGCGGTGCCAGAGCCATTCGCCGTCGATCCGGCAGGAGGTCGTGAGGTTGCGCGCTCCCTTCCAGAGGCCATAGCTTCGGCAACAGCTGGAGCCTACCACTTTGGGCAGGCTCCGCTACCAATGTGAAAACACGGATGTATGAAGTGCGTCGTGTTTCGTTTCCAACCGCTCGAAGTGTCGGAGTGAAAAGAACGAAGTGAAAAAGGTAAGAGCTCCTTTTCTATGCGTAGCGTGAACATGCGTGCTCAAGGGGCCCCTTAGGGCATATGGCAGCGGTCCGTGGACAAAAGCTGCAGTCGGAAGCGACCCACCATGGATTCTCCACATTTCATGGAGTGAAATTCACAGCCCCCTTAAATAGCCATTCCATGTTTTTGGGGTTCTGCGAAATTTTGGTGGATGTCTAAAGGATCGTCATCCACTCCTAGCACCAAACATACTACTGGCTACTAACATAGGTGTGCATCACGTGTCCTCAAAACTCAATTAGGCAAGAAGTTGAGAAGCATCAACACCAATCGCCATCTCACAACGGCAGGCGAAGGTACGCAGTCCCTGGAAGAAACTCAGCTCACGAACTTGAGATGTTCGCCCAAGGTTGACATGACTGACAGCGCTATTCCCCTCTGTCCTGTGAACTTGTCCAGGCACTGACCCACTTCACAATAGCCTTTGTTTCGCTTGCTCAGGGCACTGGCAATCTGATTCACTGGGTAGAACTCTCTCGCTAGTGGCACACACACACATACACACACAAAGGCAATAGTTCCAAGAAAAGGATCTTAGCGAGACATGGTTCGCAATAGTACATTAATATACATTAATACATTAAGTATTGTCTGTCCGGAGCTCCTCCAACATTGGTTCTCAGGCGGTACACACCTGTATAGGCTAGGCCCCTAGGTGATCCATCCTCTTGCGGTATGTTGGTATGTTCTGGGTAGATGGTTCTGGTGACCAGCTCGTGTATATATATATATAGATCTTCTTCACAAAGCACCTTTGGATCGTTTGAATTTTCATGTTCGTTATAGACTTTTCCGATGTGCTTTTTGTGGAATTGTGGCTTGCGATCCTCTGGCCAAGCTGCAAGACAAATCCGCCACAGTGGGCGCCGGGCCACATAGCCACGGGTTCTCGTTCAGCCAGCGCTCGATGGATTGGAGAGTCTGTGCAATCTCCTGCCACTGTTGGTACACACAGCTACAACCGCACTTCTGTAACTAGGTCAGTCCGGTCTTTACGTGCCAGCTCATCCATGGATCTCTTACTAAGCAAAAACCAATCACGTGCACTAGTCGGCACAAGGATCAACCTGAGCATTGTGGTGTCTTCTAGCGATTCTAGCGATGCAGATTCATATTCTGTTTAACAGGGATCTTACCGGCTTGATCACTGCCTTCTGAAGAAAGACTTGCAGCTCTTTGGAGGGTCAAGGTATAGTTGGCCGATTGCATTTTGGGAAGAGGTGGTTCAGCAACAAGTAAACTCGGATGCTGATCCGCAGCGAAGTCAGAATGACTGACTGGGCTGTAGAAAATGCCAAGCTGTTTCCCAAACAAATTATAGTACTTGTCTGTGTGAACTGAGCATGAAGCCAAGGCAAGGAGGCTGGCTGATTCCTCTTGTCCAGGCCTTCATCCATTGCTTCGTCTGCTCGGGAGAGATCTTCAAATCCGGTCGCATCACCGGAGCGAACAGTGCCATGGTGATCCGTCGGGTGTTCTGGTGGTGCCAGTTCCTCTGAAGCAAATGGCCGTCTCCCGTGTCTCGACAAATTCCAAAGCTGAACAAGGGGAGGCAAATATTTTGCCACAGCTCTCCAAATGCAGAATTTCTGAAACAAAGGTCTTTAAAGTTGACTGCAAGCTTCAACTTTCCTAGGTCCAAGCACAATCTTTGGACGTCTCGGAGGATTCGGAATCCAATCACTTGAGCGCCAAAGCACTATGTGTGACACTCCGCCGGGCTGTTGTTCACTACTAGTTGAAGGCTGATAATCAAGTGGGGGGTGGCTATCTGCAGGTTGACAGCCCAAACTACTATGGTATCAAGTCCATCCACGGCAAGTTGTTTTCCGCAGCGAAAGCCAAGGTGCATGTACTGATGAATACGTGCACGGATGCGGGCATCACGAGGATAAAGTTTCCACTCGAACTTGTCTCCCAAGTATGCCATGATGGCCTTGTTTCCGAGACAAGTCCAAATGCCATGAAGGTTCTGGGGAGCTGCCCCATACTCTACTCTTGAGGCACAAAATCCATCAACAGTACGAGTACGCGGGGGTCAGCAAAATAGCTGGGTCTCAACAGATTCTACGCCATGGCACCCTCTATCCAAGAAATATGGGAGTGGACAGTAGTCCCTTGAAAGTTGCTGGGGCGGTCAGTGAATCAGCAAGTAGCGCACTCAACCAAGCTTTGTCACTCACGATCATCATGTCTGACAACTCTGTTCTGGGAAGTTTGGTTTGGTGCTCATATATGACGACGCGGAAGAGGATGAGGATAAGGATGAGGATGATGATGATGATGATGATGAGGAGGAGGATGAAAAATAACATAAAGCCCCACCATATAGTCACTCTATACGTGGCCCCAAAATGTCTGGTACACGCCCAAACCTGCAGTCTTGTTGGTATGTGTTTTTGAATGCTTTTGGGAGATTGTTGCCGTGCTTGCGCCATTTTGATGCGATTGACGTCACAGCATTGTCAAGTGGCATGACTCTCATTGAGAATGAAGCCATCTTCTTCCAATCGAGGGACTGCTGGTATTACACCTGCAGTCCAAAACGAGGGACTTCGAAATGAAAGGGTCGGCCTTTGAGATTGAAGCGCTGAGAAAGGAATGAAACCTTGAGCATCCAATCAGAACTCCTCGCCAAGAGTCTTGAAGGGTGTGTAAATGGGTGGAGCACAGTACCATACCCTAGCTTGACTCTGCAACTTCTGAGAGTGATGCTTTTGATTGAACTACATCACCTCAACGCTTGATCTAGCTTGCGCTTAAAAATAGCTTTGGCTATGACTGCTCGGTCTAGCGGCTAAAGAAGACTTGCTTCAATTCAAATTATACCTTTGCAGAACTCCACATGGAGCCTCTGTCCCGATTGGCGACAAAGTGAAGAGTGATGCCATGCATGACAGTATCATCATACAATCCCCAGAATAATCACAAACGTATGTCTCTACATATATATATATATATATGAGTATAAGTCTATATCAATAGTTATTGGGAGGGCAAGTCGACAAAGTGGAACACACCGACTTTGTAGGGCATGCGTTTAGTATCGTTTAGTGGCATACACGGGTCAAACAAGTAACAAACCGAGCAAATAAAGGGGAGAACCGTTCTCGACCTTCCGACCGTCAGGTCGCCAACCAAACAAAAGTCACTTGAGAGGATGCCAAGCCAAGCCACATTCGTGTAGCTGTGACTCACCCACTCCATGCTTTTTCACCCGACCAACCGAAAGCCCAGGAAGCCTTGTGCTTGAAACTCCTTGGAGCGCGTGTCTTTCCCGGGCCTCAGTGACTCAGTAGGCCCCATGGGGCAGTGGATTCACCTCTCAAAGTGGTCGCCTGCACGGCTGGGGATTTCATTGAAGGGAATCTCTAGGATTGCCATATCATCCAAGCTTACGTTGTGGTATCCAAGTTCCTACAACAAATGACATGGTGACACCCCAGCTGGACACGTCACAAAATAAATGAAAACAATGTGCCCAGGATTCCAGCGTTTGGAGATTAAACACACGTTTTACAAATCACTTCACTGACCGGACCGACTGGATTGCCGTACTCGCCTGACCGACCTGTTCAGCCGCCCCATGGGCTCCATGACTCCTTGAGATTCGGCCTTTCTATGGGTAGCCCATGCAGCGCAAAACTGAGAGCAAGAGCTCAGGCACTGGCATCGTCTGCACCTCTTCCACTTGAACGTTCTCATAGGCACATGCCCAGGACAATGCCCTGAAAGGATTGTGCGGTTTTCGTTTTCAATCTTCGCCCCTCCAAAGATGTGTGGAAAACTGTCAGTGAACCGCAGTGATGGACAATGCTAGACACCATCTGGGTTTTGAAGGGTGTCCTGAAGCGGTTTCTGACAGGTTGTGCCCAGAACAGTCTGCTTGGGGATCATGGACGCAGCTAAGAACTTTGCTGTAAAGCCTACAATTGGACTTGCAGGTGTGGGCAAAGCCCCAACAAAATGCTTTGCATCTAGAGAACCTTTGAATTGAATGGCTTTCCAAATAGAGAGGGGAAGGGCAAACTCAAAGTGCAAACAGACATCACCCTCACCATGTAGAGTTGCGCTCAATCGATTCGGTTCTTCCAAGCAAGGGGAGCACCTGCATTCCTGCAATTTCTCCTTGAAGGCGCTCGAATGAAAGACAGCAAATTTGCTTATCCGTTTTAATGTCTTTCATGTTTACTCCCTAAATGCAAATGATCCCTGTAGATTTTCATAGATTTTCGAGGTTCTTGGATCCAAAAAGGTACACAAATGGTTGTGGGGAATGTCACCTTATACCCCGCACAAAATATCTGAAGTGCAACAGTCGGCTCACAGTGGTGAACAAATACCAAACCCAGGTTGGAGATTAGGAAAAACAATTCCAGGACAGATACAGTATTCCCTTCAGATTCTCTTTTGATACGGATTCCTGCTCCAATGAATCACTTGCCACTGCCAATCCAATATGTGGGTCCAAAATACTCTAAAGTCTCCAGACTGTGCTCTCCACCAGCCTGCAGGGCTGAGAGATTGGCATAGTATAGATCTTCATGGCTCCAAGGTCCGACCGAGGCGGCTGACGCTCTGATCTTTGGCCATTCAAATGTATAAGTATATATAAGTCTAAACATGACATCAAACCTTAGAATTCAAGATGTTTGAAGTTATAGAGCTACAGTTGGTTCACCATTTATGCTCATCATGCTTCAGAAGCTGGATGAGCCTGGATTTTGAGAAGGGGATGGCAAATGGGCGATCCAATTACAGTATACCAGCCTTGTTGAGTGTTGGAGTTTTGACCAACCATGACTAACCCTTTCTTGCTCACTTCAACGATCGGGACTTGTCACGGTCGAATCAAACAGCCTGGCGACTCATGATGATGATAGTTCGCAGCGTTGCACAAACTCCTTGCGAATTCATCTGCCTATTCCTTCACTGCTCATGAATCTCTTTGTTCTGAGGGAAATCAATTGCTAGCCCTCTAAACTTCAATTTGCAGTGAAACCGAAACAATCCAAGCAAATATATGGACATACGTACACATACTAATATATATATATATATGGTAATATCCAGCCTTCTCTCCAGTAAAACTTGACATGTCACTGCCATCCCACTTTTTTTCCAAGGTTCCATCCCAAACCGTGGCACTTGAGACCTGCTCTGCACTTTTCCTAGCATTGCGAAAATGTTGGCTTCCCACTAGTACAATTGTGCTGCCGGCTATATAATTACATGTTGTGCGATGAGGTTACCTCAATCGCGGGATCCAACTATGAGATATGGGAACTGAAGTTAGAGTCTGTTAAAGAAAATGGCCACAGTGTGTTCAATCAACATCACCAGCAACCGGAACAAAGCATGGCCGCTGTTCCACCGAACGCCTTTCATGGCAACCAAAGAAACTGAAATTTCAGATCATGGCCCGTGTGATCGACCATCATGGTCAGCCAAGCGACGTATGCCATGGAGAGGGTACTCAGCCAAAAGCTAAAATCACACCGAAGAACCAAGTGGATGAAGCTGAGGAAACTCACTCCGACTACAGCCCTCATGCACACATCCGTCATAAGAAGGACGAATGCTTCAACCAAAAAACTGTAGCCGTTCCGGATGAGGCTATCTTCAACATTGGCGTCCGCCAAACCCACAAAGTATTCACTGTTCTGTCCTAAGAAAGTGTTGCTTCGCAAACACAGTAGGAGCAAGATGAAGATAGCTGGCGCCATGACCTCGCATACTTCCAACATGACAATCGCCGAGAACGAGCTAGTGATTGCATTCAGCAAGTAGACATCTTCGTGCGACCAGGTCACCTTGGCTGGGACTCTCAAACTCTGCAATTCCCAAGCGAGCCAAGATGGAACCCACGAAATCCGAAACGACACACAGACCCGACGAAACTTGGCCAAACATTGTTTTACACTCTTGTAGGGCACTCCTGTAGGAGACACCCTTGTGGGACACTCTTGCAACGCGCTCGAAAGCTCTTGTGGGGCATTCACTCTTGTGGGACACTGTTTTGTGGGACACTCTTCTGGGACACTCTTGTAGGACACTCTTTTGGGGCACTCCACTTTTGTGGGACACTCTTGTAGGAGACACTCTTGTGGGACACTCTAGTGGGACACTCGCTTTTGCGGGCCAGGCTTACTGGCTCTCTTGTGGCACAGTCTTGTGGGACTCTCTTGCGGGGCACTCTTGTGGAAACCTCGTGGCGTGCTAGTAGAAGAAACTCTTGTGGAAAACCGTTGTGGGGCACTCTTATGGGACACTCTTGCGGGGCACTGTTGTAGGCCAACTCTTGTAGGAGACACTCTTGCGGGAGACACTCTTGTAGGGGACGCTCTTGTGGGGCGCTCTTGTTGTGGGGCACTCTAGCTGTGGGGCACTCTTGTTGTGGGAAACTCTTGTCGGACACTGTTGTGGAAGAAGGAAAGGGTTCATCGGGGAGGGATCATCTGCGACACCAAATCAGGGATGCGCGTTGGAGGACCATCTGCAAGACACGTGCTCGGTCGGGGAGCATGGGCATAAATTCACGCCCCTTTTTTACTTTGCACTTCGGTATTACGCACGATGATCTTGCAGTCACACGCTGTGGGGGTTCCGATAATCTTCACATCACTATTGCGTTCAATGGTCCTGCGCACATTACATACATACCCGTCAAATCACCATGGCGCTCCACCGTTTTCCATGCGATGGTCACACACTGTGTGGGGTGTGTGGGCGGGGGGTGGGTGGAGTGTGTGTGGGGGGGTGGCTGGGTGGGCCAACAATCACATCCTTTTTGATCCCTTTCGCATCACCATTGCACACAGTGGTATTTTATGCACTTGATGCCCATCCACATCGCCATTGCACGTGATGGTTGCGCACGGTGATCTTCGCATCACCATGGCGCACAATGGTCTTGCACAGCTTTGATTCCTTCACATCTGCATTGCGCATCCCGATTCACATTCAATACCCTTCGCATCACCATTGTGCGCCACGATTGGGATAGAATATCCCGCTCGAGCGCCACGAACGACGCAGCGGTCGAGTGACACAAACAAGCCCCCTACCGTTGGGGCACTCTTAGGGCTCTTGTGGGGCACAGTCTTGTGGGATGCAGTCTTGTGCTTGTAGGGCGCTCTTGTGGCACAGTCTTGTCCGTCGCTCTTGTGGGAGACTCTTGCTGGAAGATCTTGCCACACGTCAAGTCTCTAAAAGGCACTCTTGTAGGACAGTCTTGTACAGTCTTGTGGGAGCCGTCGTACGAGCGTTTCGTACGAGACGTCCTCCCAAAGTCAAATGTCAAGCGTCAAGTCGCTCTTTGTACGAGACGTCCTTCAAAAAGTCACTCGTCCAGCCTCCAAAACGGCCTCCAAGAAAACGAGCGTTTCGTATGAGACGTCCTCCAAAAGTGAAGTGGGAAGCCCCATCAGAGCGAACACATCAAGCAGCCCTGCCAAGCGCGCCCCTCAACACCACAGCGGCTGACACACCTCCAAACGTCGCAACCTCACGATTCCCAGCGCCTGCCACGAAAATCCAACTTCGACTGCCAAGAAAAGTGACGACATGACATCTTCATGTCTTCCATAAAGTTTGTACAACGCCACACGTTTGGAATGATTTGGAGACTTTTTTCAAACGCTCACATCCACGTCATCCACTAAAGCCGAGAATGGTAACGAAAACACAGCTTCGAGGCAAGATCCTACACAGAAGTCCCACTGTCACACCTGCAGCAGGGGATAAACGGGAGGAACCCTTCGCTATGCATTCGGGAAAAGCTAGAAGAAAAAAGAAAAAACAACCATTACGAGAACCAGGCCACATCTTGAAGGTCTTGCTTTTTCATTGTCTTGCATCTTTGGGTGATGTCTCTGATCCTCGTTTGCAGTAGCATCAGGTTGTGGCGAACACCCATGAAGCCTTGCTTGAACTGCTGGCTTGACCTCATTCTTCGCTTTTCAATCTCGCTCTTGTATGATGAAAGATCGAACAAGACGATCAGGAATGAACCTCCCACCTGTGAAGCTTCTGGCAGAATCATAGTGACAAGAACCCAAATACCTTTGGCTTCTGAAAGGATCATTGCTTTGAAGATGATCACAGGAAGCCTCATCGAGGTTCGCATCTCCTGTATTATTTGCGGAGGCACATTCCAACGCACACCCAATGGTGCAGCCATCTTTATCGCAAATGCCTCCACTGCAGCAACTGAAAGGCTCATAACCATTTGGATTTCAGGTTTCACTACGCCAAAGAATGCTGTGTAGAGCAGCATCACTCCATAGAAAGCGCATAATCTTGCCCAAGAGCACGTCGCAAACTTCAAGGAATTGCTCGTATTATGGAGTGCCCGCACCTCTGCAGGGAGAACCAGGTACGCAACTCCCACGCTCACGAACGCTGCTGGGATACACGAAATAATTGCAGAAAACGGGACGGGATACACATTGCCCAAGGAGAAGAGCGCATGCTCGCAGGCACACCACACGGAGTCCACCATCGGCGCCCAATGCAAAGACCTGTCGATGCGCCTTGCAATGTCTGGCCTTCGTGCTTTTTGCAAACTGGGTCTACTCTCCAAATCCCAAGAGACG